GGTTATTGGTTATTAGACATCCATTCAGCAGATTCTACGCGTACTTTTGCTTCTCTCTTTATTGAATTCATAGTTCCCAAACCATTAAATAAATAAGAGTGCCTCCACTTGGGCATATCTCATCTTTCGTTGTAGTGGACCTTGCATCTTACATTAGTTTCAGGGGTACCGCAAACTTTCCTTCCGATTCCAAAATTGGATGACGTCCACTGAGCCAGGGATGCTGATAACTCCAGCAGCAGCCTATTTACAAAACGAAAACCTGGTAATGAGCAAAGCTGGCGCATTTAAGCAAATGCTGGGTGGGTTTTAAAATTGGTTCCTCCCTTACGGTTTATTGTTCCAAAAGATGAACTGATTACCCGGACATGCGAGCGCAACTATCGCATTTCATCGACAAAACCAGTGCACTCATGTAGTCATTGTCAAATGCACAATTTGCAACTCTCATTATAGGCTCGCACAGAAGTTAGTAGTATCAACATTGATCTGGCCTTAAACTGTAATTTGTACAAGTAAACAAAATGGGTCAATGTGGCTGTGAGTATGGTAAGCAGTAGTAAATGTTCAGTGAGGAAGCCCAGATAGGGAAAATGCAAATAATGGCGCATATATGATAGTCTCTATCGGTATAGGTTCGGCAATTTCTCGCTGAATGTAATATGTCTTCAGTGTTGGAAAAGACCTCCTTGAAGATTGAGTGTGAGGCCACAATGTCAAGTAAGAAGGGTGATTACGAAATTAACAAGAAGATGATTCCGCTATCCCTTGATATAAGCTTCTAACTGTACAACCAGTGCTACCGGTTTCACGCGCCTCCTACAGGCTGTCACTTCTTCAAGGATATTCCAGAGGGAGAAGCCAAAAGCCCTACTCGCAGAAAAACCTTGTCTAGAATAACGAAGGAGCAGTGGCTTTTCGCTTCAGCTTCAAAAGAAAGGTATCTGAGAGACAAATTTGCTGCTGCTGCTGATGATGATGGAGTAGGATGTTTTGCCTACCCATCCACAGGCGCAGATTTTGGACTGTTGAGACAGCTATGGGTATTCAAGAGTTACCTGACAAGAAACAAAGGACTTTTAGTTAAAGACAAGTAGATTTGATTTGGGAGGTATGGGAAAATTTGCATAATGATTTTAAAACAAACGACACCATGCATTTAAGTCTCTTTTGAAAACTGGGATGAATGAACACGTGCCTGGTTGCTAAAACTGCGGCTACCTTTAAATCAAAGTGCTCTGGTTCAAGTCCCCAGATCGTTCTCTTTTCATGGATGTCTGAGCGAGCAGTCTGGGAATTGTCTTACACCCACTCCTTCCTGATTTGTTAATATTGCGTTAGCTCCACTTTAAATGAACTAAACGTCACTCTCCAAACACAACTTAATCGTTGCAAACCAGGGCGGTGAGACATCCTTAGCTATTCTCTACAGATAACAGGCAATCCTGCAGGGCTGTAGCTGTTGGTTAAGTGCTAAACAAACCCCAAAAGGCGAAAAAATGTGATAAGATGAGATGGTAAGGTAGGGAGGATCAGCTTTCTCTTCCTCAGCGTACACCCAAATGTCCCAATTCAGTGTGAACACATGTGGCACTCTACATTTTTAGCAAGGTTAAGCTTCAACGAAAGAGAAGAGGGAGGACATTTCGTTGCCTGTAGTACCCACCTTAATCTGTCTCTTTGATCTCATATCTCCACGACCCCTAACTCCATACAGATGGCCTATTCAAATCTCTTGCCTCTATTTCCAGTTCCTCGATCATCATTTGAGATAGAAACAGATTCGAATTGTGCCACTAAATATAATTGCCGATCTGCAACGAATTTTGTCGTCACAACTTGAGAAATCGAGCCACCGTATTTTGAAACAGATGTAGGGTGCCAGAGCTAAGCTTAAAGTGCGATCAAATTGAGCCTGGTAGAGGTGCCCTTTGGTTTTGCATTCGAAAGAGAATGTAGTTTATCCCTGTCTACCACAAGATCATGCAAAGAATGTACAAGGCAATCCAAATTGTTTCACTCTCTTGCTGGCATGAACTGACTGCCAAAATTAGTTGGGCATGAGGGCCATGACATGCTCCTCACTTTTCATCCCCCAGGATCTAATGGATGCGAAAACCCATCTCCAGCGGGTTGATGCAGTTGCCAATTTGTACTGGAGAGGCCTTTTGACTAGTGTATACGGTTACTTAAAAATGTTTGATTCTTCAAATCGTTGACAACCAAAAACAGAGCAAATGCTCTGACCTCATATAAACACTTGCAAAGCACAATGTGGAGGTGAAAGAGCACCTACGAAGTGCTTCCAGCACCGCCTTTAAAATGGTGCATCATGAGTACCATCATATAGAACGGTGTAAGTGATCTGGAAGGATATGAGCATAGCCGAGACAGAAGGCGCGTATCTTCTAATGAGACCGAAGTGACAGCTGAAGCTGCCATGCGCAAGGAAGGAGTCCACTTTACCATAGGGGTGCTTTTCAACCAGGAGAGTACGAAACAAGTTGAAGTTGAGAATTTGACGCCGTGATGCTAGATTTTAACAAGCAGCTTTAACTAATGGTGAATTAATGAATATGGCATAATATGATGTGGCCTGTCAGGAAAGCTGGACTATGTAGTCTTCCTAAGGATGAAATTTCCACTCACGAAATTTCGGATTCCCAATAATGATGCCTTGTGGATGCTGCCATTTAGTAGTGCAACTCACGTGTAGTGGACCTTGCATCTTACATTAGTTTCAGGGGTACCGCAAACTTTCCTTCCGATTCCAAAATTGGATGACGTCCACTGAGCCAGGGATGCTGATAACTCCAGCAGCAGCCTATTTACAAAACGAAAACCTGGTAATGAGCAAAGCTGGCGCATTTAAGCAAATGCTGGGTGGGTTTTAAAATTGGTTCCTCCCTTACGGTTTATTGTTCCAAAAGATGAACTGATTACCCGGACATGCGAGCGCAACTATCGCATTTCATCGACAAAACCAGTGCACTCATGTAGTCATTGTCAAATGCACAATTTGCAACTCTCATTATAGGCTCGCACAGAAGTTAGTAGTATCAACATTGATCTGGCCTTAAACTGTAATTTGTACAAGTAAACAAAATGGGTCAATGTGGCTGTGAGTATGGTAAGCAGTAGTAAATGTTCAGTGAGGAAGCCCAGATAGGGAAAATGCAAATAATGGCGCATATATGATAGTCTCTATCGGTATAGGTTCGGCAATTTCTCGCTGAATGTAATATGTCTTCAGTGTTGGAAAAGACCTCCTTGAAGATTGAGTGTGAGGCCACAATGTCAAGTAAGAAGGGTGATTACGAAATTAACAAGAAGATGATTCCGCTATCCCTTGATATAAGCTTCTAACTGTACAACCAGTGCTACCGGTTTCACGCGCCTCCTACAGGCTGTCACTTCTTCAAGGATATTCCAGAGGGAGAAGCCAAAAGCCCTACTCGCAGAAAAACCTTGTCTAGAATAACGAAGGAGCAGTGGCTTTTCGCTTCAGCTTCAAAAGAAAGGTATCTGAGAGACAAATTTGCTGCTGCTGCTGATGATGATGGAGTAGGATGTTTTGCCTACCCATCCACAGGCGCAGATTTTGGACTGTTGAGACAGCTATGGGTATTCAAGAGTTACCTGACAAGAAACAAAGGACTTTTAGTTAAAGACAAGTAGATTTGATTTGGGAGGTATGGGAAAATTTGCATAATGATTTTAAAACAAACGACACCATGCATTTAAGTCTCTTTTGAAAACTGGGATGAATGAACACGTGCCTGGTTGCTAAAACTGCGGCTACCTTTAAATCAAAGTGCTCTGGTTCAAGTCCCCAGATCGTTCTCTTTTCATGGATGTCTGAGCGAGCAGTCTGGGAATTGTCTTACACCCACTCCTTCCTGATTTGTTAATATTGCGTTAGCTCCACTTTAAATGAACTAAACGTCACTCTCCAAACACAACTTAATCGTTGCAAACCAGGGCGGTGAGACATCCTTAGCTATTCTCTACAGATAACAGGCAATCCTGCAGGGCTGTAGCTGTTGGTTAAGTGCTAAACAAACCCCAAAAGGCGAAAAAATGTGATAAGATGAGATGGTAAGGTAGGGAGGATCAGCTTTCTCTTCCTCAGCGTACACCCAAATGTCCCAATTCAGTGTGAACACATGTGGCACTCTACATTTTTAGCAAGGTTAAGCTTCAACGAAAGAGAAGAGGGAGGACATTTCGTTGCCTGTAGTACCCACCTTAATCTGTCTCTTTGATCTCATATCTCCACGACCCCTAACTCCATACAGATGGCCTATTCAAATCTCTTGCCTCTATTTCCAGTTCCTCGATCATCATTTGAGATAGAAACAGATTCGAATTGTGCCACTAAATATAATTGCCGATCTGCAACGAATTTTGTCGTCACAACTTGAGAAATCGAGCCACCGTATTTTGAAACAGATGTAGGGTGCCAGAGCTAAGCTTAAAGTGCGATCAAATTGAGCCTGGTAGAGGTGCCCTTTGGTTTTGCATTCGAAAGAGAATGTAGTTTATCCCTGTCTACCACAAGATCATGCAAAGAATGTACAAGGCAATCCAAATTGTTTCACTCTCTTGCTGGCATGAACTGACTGCCAAAATTAGTTGGGCATGAGGGCCATGACATGCTCCTCACTTTTCATCCCCCAGGATCTAATGGATGCGAAAACCCATCTCCAGCGGGTTGATGCAGTTGCCAATTTGTACTGGAGAGGCCTTTTGACTAGTGTATACGGTTACTTAAAAATGTTTGATTCTTCAAATCGTTGACAACCAAAAACAGAGCAAATGCTCTGACCTCATATAAACACTTGCAAAGCACAATGTGGAGGTGAAAGAGCACCTACGAAGTGCTTCCAGCACCGCCTTTAAAATGGTGCATCATGAGTACCATCATATAGAACGGTGTAAGTGATCTGGAAGGATATGAGCATAGCCGAGACAGAAGGCGCGTATCTTCTAATGAGACCGAAGTGACAGCTGAAGCTGCCATGCGCAAGGAAGGAGTCCACTTTACCATAGGGGTGCTTTTCAACCAGGAGAGTACGAAACAAGTTGAAGTTGAGAATTTGACGCCGTGATGCTAGATTTTAACAAGCAGCTTTAACTAATGGTGAATTAATGAATATGGCATAATATGATGTGGCCTGTCAGGAAAGCTGGACTATGTAGTCTTCCTAAGGATGAAATTTCCACTCACGAAATTTCGGATTCCCAATAATGATGCCTTGTGGATGCTGCCATTTAGTAGTGCAACTCACG